TACTCGTCGGATATAATCTCAACTACAGCGGACTAAGGCATTGAATAAAATCAAACACTTAATGAACCCACTTTAGTTAACTTCTTAATGTGCAAACTGGCCAATAAATATATTGTTTTAAACTCTACATAGTTGTGGCACAAATAAGCTCCACGCCATCCACGCTGCCCGCCGGTGTGCCGTTTCAACAAAATATTAATGGATGGATTATTCATTTTCTAAATTGTTTGATTTTTAGATAGAATACTCGCCTACTGTATTCTTCTAAGTCAGTACTGGCCTAGTCTCAAAGAAAATATAAACAGATTTGAAAGATTGTTAGAACCTCGTGATGTTAACACGAATAGTTTGAATGGCTTCCAATCCTGTGGGGCGCATTCCTTCCGCTCATGTTACCGCGGGTGTAACACGTGCCACGTGGCGAGGAATTTGTCACTACCCGCCGCCGCCACCGCTTTCACTCTCCATATTAGACCGGTGCACCTCGCGTTTATTCTGGCACAGTTCGACGAACCGAAATTATGTTTATTTAACAAATCGCGAGCCGACAGCCCCGTCAGCGCTGTAGCCAGGAATGTGCCGCTACCGCACACGGCTTAATGAACTATAAATCCATTCCATATTATTGAGTGTCCGCGCCTGAAATGAAAGCGGCCCGCGGCTGAACGTTGACCGCCGCCCCGGCGCGGCGGCGTGCGGCATCCCATTCATGCGAAGGCCGAGGGGAAAATAAACGAGAAAACGCGACTCTGCCGCGACGAGCTTCGCGCCGCGGTTTCCGTTATTCTAAAATTAAAATCACACACAGCGTCCAGACGCACCGGATTCACTGTGCATTACAACTGAAAGTGAACTCTCGGCTGGTGAAATTAGGTATAAAATCAACTGTACTAATAATAAAAAAACATCTAAGCGGGAGACCTCATCACAATAGAGGCGACTCCATTCCGGGACGTACTATGTGGCGGTGATGATTCACTGCATGCGTTAAGATTGAACTGCAATCCCGTCAGACATACTACAGACGCCACTACATCTTGAAATTTTGCCAATGGTAGTTTCGCAAGCGATTATCGTAAAATTCAAGCGCTTTGGCAATGACCCATATTGAGGTAGGTCACGGGCAGGGATAGACTGCTAATAAACGGGAGCTGAGCACTCCATTGATCGGCGTGTGTGCCGCAAGTACCGCTACTCTATGTCGAGATAAGCATGTAATTTACTGCGTCTTTGATGTGAGGCGGCACGCCGTGCCCGGAATACTGAATGTCGCGTTCTAGGCTATTGTGTGCACAGTTTGCGTGGCCGCACTGCAGCCCTAGACAAAGCTCTGCTAATGCAGGTTTCTTGTCTTGCAACGATCCACTATGCGGAAATAGAGGTTCACCGTTGTGCCACCGATAATACTCCGCTTCAGTCAAATTATCATTCGACGCAGCTATCACGCATTCCTCCCAAAGATGGAGTCAAGTCGGCAGCCAATACTGACTACAAAATGCACTCAATCCAGTTAGCGAGCAACTGAGCTGGCTGGCTATCAATAAAATTTCAATATTTATGAAGTCACATGTAAAGACAGTCGTTGTCGTTCGACTGAATCGGATAAATGGAACTAAATGAACTGTACATTATCATAACAAAGACAGATATATGAATTTCAACGTAATGCACAACATCAGCTTTTATGCGATTTAGTGCAATACAGAAATATTAAACTGTGTCTTTGTTTATACAAGCGTCAATGAATTTAAAATGTACGACTCAATCGGGTCTCCTAAGTATACATTACCGGCCCTCGCATTATTGCAAATGGCACGCTAACCCCGCAGCGCACACGGCGAGCTGCGCGGGCGCATCGTTATCATAATATCCATTTCCGCCGATATCGTTCGCCCTCCATCCCGGTGCGTCAACCTCGGAGATGATTTATTACATCTCATTACCGGTCGCCATTAGGTATTATATACCTAATCGAGATCTCGATGCAACGATGTTTGTATCGATAACAGCAATTAACTCGGCGCGTAAGATAGGTATCGCAGTCACCAATTAAATGCTACAACATCAATCATCGCCTGTCATAAGTGAATTAAAAAACTCCTTCAAAAGTACAAGAGTACAAATGAGCATTCGCTAGCCTCGTTTGTTAGTATTTGTCATTCTTATAACATGCAATGTTGCCCAGTAGCCGAGTAGTAAATTGGTTAGTCCCGACGACCGCTCCGAACGTAATTACTTGTTGACAAAACATTAATTGCTAGCGATCGCGTATCGGTCGTTCATGATGTCGAACATATAGCTAGGGACGGTAATGACTGAAATATTGATTCTTCCTTTGAATTATTGGGGAGATACGGGCTCAGATATCGCTTAGAATGTCCTTAACGACTGTCATTATGACGGAAAATGGTATGCAGGGAAAGTGTTGTTGTTCCGTAAGCATTAGCAGCAGGCATTAGAACGTCAGACGTCTAGACGAAGGCGTGGCGATGTGTGTTCGCACACTAATTGCTCCTGTAGGCAACTTTTCAAACGCGAAGGCCCAACCCACGCTGTCAAGAAAAGCGTTACCCCTTATTCGCTTATAGAAAAACGTACAAATCTGTTGTTAAGTGCTTCAGACAACTTGTAGTCTTGTTTGTATAACTTGAATACATAAGTTCTCAGATTGATTCAAGTTTGTTAAACACATTATCGCCTTGGTCATATTTCGAAAATGCTTGAATCAACATCTTTAACAAAAGTATCTTCGGCAAACTGACAATGACCCACATGAGTGTTCCAAATGTAGTTCTAAATAATTTATCTAATTACATATCGACATCTTGCAAAAACAATAACAGCCAACTGTGTTGATCCAACAACGGTTGCGCACGCGCATTATGCGCGACCTTGCGCTCTTTTCGATCGCTCGGTATCGATCGGTAACTTGGTAGATAGTATCGATGCATCGGTCCCGTGTTTTTGTCGTGTCTGTGCGGAACTGTGCTACTTGTTAGGTTAAATCGGGTTCAGCTTAGATTGTTCTTAGCTTGTACTTGTAGGGCTGCCAATTTCCTAAATTGTGTTAATTTGCATTAATTCTTAAACACAGTGTATCGTCCCTCAATGCTTCACTCATCCAGTATAAGTATTTTGTTCGTGTGTCATTGGTATTATTTGAAAGTTTACTAAAAACAATTAATTTAAAGCTTATCAATGTGTGCGTATACAATGAACATCAAACTTTTACCACCAAACTTGGTACTAAGTAATTTTCCAAAGGCCTCTTTATACAGCATGATTTAATCTAAACACTTCTAATTAAGGGCAGAAAACATAAGTTAACTTTCATTTTCACTAAATAGCAACCCTATTCCCGAGTTAACAAACGCCCCTACTATCAGATTGCGACGCATTTGGAGTAGAATAGAATAGAAAACGAGCAACCACGTACGGACTGCAAAGAACTTGGTGGTCGTGAGGTCACCCGATACGAGATCGCTTCGAGAGTAACCGAAAGGTTATCGGGAGAAAGTTTTGTACGAGTAGCAACGAACGCATCTCTTTGTACAAGACGAGATTTGAGGTAACTCGTCATTCGGGATTGAGGAGTTATTAGTGTACACCCATCTTCGATTGATAGTCTATTAAGTTGTAATTTACTAAAGTTTATGTCGCTGGTTATCTTAAAGGTTATGAGGTACCAGCCTTGCATTGCTACTGTGAATTTGAATTCCATGGGAAAGTAATAAAATAACTTAAAAGAAAATATATTCATTCCCATCCTCCTATCTCCTTTAAGCTACATCTACAAGCAATGGTACATAATATAATGCATGTGTACATAGCATTGTTACCACGCAGTCGTGCTAAACTGGGCAATCTATATGTGGGCCCGGCCTTGGGACTAGCGCTTTCTTTCTGCCCAGACGTCGGCACCGCTTCTAAGTTCTAAGTAAAGCGTAATCTCGTTCGAAGTATTGTCGGACTAGTTTTTGAAGTGTCTTGCCAGATGTGGAGCAAAATTATTGTCTAGTTGTGTTTTAAATCTTAAGTTTGTGTTAGTAGGACGTATTATATTTCTGTGAACGTAGATGGCATTATTTTGTTAAATCACAACGCGAAACTAATATTCTAATTCGATTGATGCAACCTAGCCTTTTACTAGCAAATGGTAAATATTGTAATCTACACTATCTATACTAATATTATAAAGAGGTAAAATTTGTAAGTTTGTATGTTTGTTAGTTTGTAAGTTTATAAGTAGGGGGTAATCTTTGGAACCGCTGGTCGGCTTGCCATAATTCTTTCATTGATAGATAGCTACATTGTTCCTGAGTGCTATAGGCTATAAAACATCACGCCACGATTAAATGAAGCCGAGCAGCGAGTGAAACCGCGCGAGAGTAGCTAGTCCAATACTGTATCGTATTACTTAACCAGGAAGACCTTACATACTATAACTTAATTAGCTTCACCGTCTAAATATAATTACACACATCTTTCCATATTTCCGCCTCACTTTCTAAGTCTCACCGCGGGACGCTCGACTAATCGACTAATCATTCGGACAAAAACATCGTCGTTACAAAATCTTCTAACTTAATCACAAGCTAAATGAAGCATTAATTTATCAAGGCAACTATTTAACGATTATTTGATAAGTGTTGCGCATAATCGACTAATCGAATCGGTATTATTTAATTTCGTAAGACTACGCTAATGATGAATGGTTAACTAATTAAGTTTGTTTTAATATTGGGTTGTTTTGTGAAACATCCTGTGTAATGATGACGTAATGCTGGATTATGTTTTTAGCCAAGGGTATGGCTGGTTATTTTCTAGGTTTTTCAGAATTTGCAGAGATTGTGACAAGATTTCATAACTCTCGTTTTTTAGATGGTATTAGCATTCTATGACTTCTATCGGCCAGGGTGAAATAAGTGGGAGTGTCAGACTCTTACTAACTAAAAACCACACCATTCTTTCTCTTGCTCCGGGGTTGCGGGTTAAGCGCAATGAGCCACCGCGGCCTCGGCCCAGAGCAGGAGAAGGAACGGGGGGCTTTTAGTCAGTAAGAGTCTGACACTCTCGCCTTACCCTGGGCGGGAGAAGTCAGCGGGGCCGGTTCTGCGCTTGCCCAGCAAACCCGATTTTCTCACTTCTCCTACTCATTATTTCTAATGAATTATAGAAGCAGGCGACAATAAATCAGTAAAAGATCGTTATCTAAATGGATTAACTATTTACAAGCGTTGACAATACACCGACAATTAGCTGCAGAACCGGTTCCAAAGACTACATCTAATTGAATAACACATCGCGTATATAATGCCGCAGAATGTATAACCATTGTATATTTTAATATTCATATGTTATACTTGTTAATGCAAGTAGGCGTAATGATACTGTTATTATTATCATAGGTCCAATAAATTGTTAAAATCGTGTAAAAACGAAGCAATTTAAATAGAACTTATAATATTGTCTGGTCTATGCTTACTTTTAAGTCCAAAATTGTGGAAACGGTTGAATCTATTTTTGGGAAACTTTGTACTCATATGCAATATTCTTAGGAAGGTCTAAAAAAATATTTCAGTATTTTTGTGAAATATCATTTAAGTGAGTAGTTACACGTGAATTTAAGTTTGTATGTAGAATTGCCTCTGGGTTCCTAAAATCGTAGCGTAAAAAATATTTTAAGGATATTTTACATTAGTGTAACAAAACTCGATTTCGTCGTGATCTTGTTCCATTTATTCGTCACACAATACTCACAAGTCTCGAATATCAATCTACAACAGCTAACCGATATTCAGGCTAGCATCTTATCTCAACAAAGTGATCTAAATGGTGAGCGACAATGTACCGGTCAATTAGACCCGCAACCGGTTCGCATCGATGCAAATACAATGATACACTCGTGCGCAACTATCTGCACGAGAAAGCTTTAGATTTACCCACTTGCGGATTGAGTTGCGTGTCCAGAGCCTGTTAGGGATAATATCATACCTTGCGGGATACAGTTTTAAATTAAATTATTTGTTTTCAGGAAAATCGAATTAATATTAATGAGGATTGGGGATCGTGTTGTTTGTAATTTGACCGTCATAAATAAAATTGAATAATTATCTAAGGTTTTTTATTATTCACCAAGTATTTCGAACATGTGAAGCTGTGAGCATCTCATCCCATATTTCTAATGCAAAAAGATATTTTCTGTAACCGTTAGCTGAAATTTGCTACGATATTTATACATAATTGATACATGCATCCGTCGGATTCGATGCGGCAATTGAACGTCTGGTTAGTCATATGTTCAAGCGTCCATAAGAAATGCATTTGCACGCTGACAATATATAATATCTGTTCCCACAATTATAACACATCGTAAAAAGCGATGGTGAAAGAGCCAGACGGTTTTTATTTATTTACCGCACTTGACATCAATAAGAACCTGTTTGGTGTTTACTCTTTTTAGACTTGAACTTCAAAACCATACAATTATTTGCTCGTAAAACGTCAGGTGACGGTGTATCAAAGGCGATGGGCGGTATTGCGTGGGCGCACCTATTAATAATTGTTGTGAGACGTAACGCTTCCGCGGCGCCCGCGCATCTGACTCCGTTTTAGCGCAGTGATAATGACTTATTGAGGAGACCAAGCTCATGCTAATGACTATATTAGTCGCGAATCACTAGGCTGTGTCATAAAGCGACGTTTGATTACACTCAGTCGCCTTGGAGCTCTGATCTGGTGACAAGGACAGCCCCGAGTGTTGCTATGCCTTCATATAGGCATCACAACGTGAAATCAAAACAAAATCAAGGTGCGTGATTAATGTTACTGCTGATTTGTGTACATTTCAATGTCATGCAATGGAAAGGTAAACATTATTCATATTTTCGTAGACTTGTTCGTTATGTTTTATACATAAATTACGCATTATTTGAGGAAAATAGACTTAAGCTCGTCTAATATTACACGGGGACAGTACTCTTATGACGAATTATCCTTCAACGATTCCTTTTAACATGAATTAGGTCAACAAAATCACACGACCGCAACTCTTTCGTAATTGTTTTCGCAAAAGTAATATTTAAAATGGAAATATTACACGAAGTCGATATTCAAATTAGTGAAGCATATGCCTCGTTATCTACAGACCTCGACTAATTGAACGATATCGATTTGAGTTTTGTTTGCATACAATAAAACTAATAACCGTCATGAAAGCCTTGTTTTTGAAAGTTTTTGGACAGATTACGAAGTCTGAAATATTCCTTAAATAGTTACTGTTTTTATGGATTAAATTAATTGACAGGAAGGAGCGTCCATCCAGAATACAAAACATTAATAATACGATATACTTTTTACAACAGTTTTTTTCTAAAAATAACACAAAAACATAATTAATCTACAGAAGATTCGCGTACGCCACATTATCCACTACTCGTGTTCCTAATTAGCTGTTACACTACCTCGCCATTGTTAAAGATATTGATGGGTCTAAGTAGCTATCAGCAGCATTTCCGTGATTGTTTCTGATCATACAATGCTCTCGTGGGCGATATGATTGCCGGGCGGGAACTCTATACTCGTACAGAAAAATGTAATTGCTTTATGAATCATTTAACAGTTGTCGGATTATGGAGAACTACCTTTTATCAGCGACCAGTGACGCGGCTTGTACTCATTGGAATTGACCGTAACGTTGTATGAAATAGATTTGTTCTTCGATTTATGATGTCCTTTTTTGGTTGTAGAGCACGTTTTTTGTTGAATGTTTTAGTCGGTTCCAAACGTGTTTTATAATGGTTCTTCTCTGTTATGATTCTTCTATTATATAAATAGAAAATTGCACATAAACTAAAACGACGAGGTCAATATATACCTAACTCCACCTTATTTCCCTACAATACACGAACTCCCCGCACCTGGCGCCACAATCCAAATTTCATAAGGTTGCTATAAATTCCCAATTTCCATATTTCAAACGTCAGCTGCGCACGCGCTGGCCCGGCAGGTGCTCGCGCACCGATTGCCTGGTCCCCCTCGCATTCCCCCCTCCGTTAAGTTAGGGCTAGTACGCAATTGACATTTTACTGTCATAACATTACCAATATACGAGATTGATATGATAAAATAAATTCTTCGAATCGTACAACTTTGAAGTGGTATTGCGTGTACGCATGTGCCACAGCCTATCTATATTTTATTAGATAAATAAATCAATATGCCATTATTATAAACGGAAAATTATATACACGGTACTAAATTAAAGTGACGGACTATCCTTATTTAAAATTGCATTGTTACATATTTGGTACTTCCATCCCACAACTATGGCGCCAAAACCAGGAAATTTGATAACACCAATAAATCGAAGCCACGTACTTATAACCTTCAATACATAGTGATTAAACTGTCACAAATTCGTAATGATGAATATTCTGTCAACATTAATATTATAAGTATTCCTTCGCTTAATTTACGTTTGACAAGATTACAATAATGGATATTGTAATATTATGTTAAAAAAATCTGTGATTTTCTTAAGTCACATACATACTATTTTAACTTATTAATACAATGACTTATTGACTTATAGACGTATATTCATAATTCATAATGTATGGATTTCACGATATAAATTATTTGGGATTTTTCAGAAATTGAATTGAAAATTTTCAGAAACCATATGTTGGACACAAGTCAAACTTTCTATGAAAATCCCAACATAAGATTTCTTAAAAATCAATCGTACAGATTTGTAAGAATTTGTGCATTGGTGAGGCTCAACCCTGGCGCCTAAGTTATGGAATTTTAATTAATCTAATTTGCATGTTTAGTCGCTAGTCCACAATACGCGACACGCCTGGCAAACAATAAAATTTACATTTTGTGCGAACAGCGCCCGTTGCGCAGGCGCAGCCCTTGCAGTTATGGAACGAAATAAGTCATTTTACGAAATAAAGCTGCTTATGAAATAAAAATGATTTATGGTCTTCTCAAATTAATTTTCCTTGTGTCACAGGTTTGTTTTGATCTCTGCTGACAACATTATAATTTTGATTAACCATTAACCAACTTAATTACTACGTTCAGGCATTATTTAAACACATAAAAATGTCATATGCCAAATAAGTGTAAATGTGTTTCATAAATAACAATTAATAATGTATTAGTAGTAACAATTATATTTTATAGCGCTGTGTGTAAGCTCGTGTCTTTATTTGCGCGGCACGCCCCCGCTAGTCGTTGCCTGCGCTAGCGCACGACGCTCCAATAACATTTATAATGTACTAGATGTTATCCTACTTAGGATGTGGCTATAAAACCCGCGAGGCTAGTTTTCCATCCAGCCTTCTTTTTCTTTACATTCTTAGTATAATGGTTAATAGAGGGCGCTTCTGTAGATTACGGCTCTTACTTTTTTAATAAAACATATTGATACCTCTGAGAGTCAGCGATAAGCGGAATAGGGAACGTCTTTACCATTGTTACAGTGTTTCACTGTATTTGGACTTCAGCTAGTCATTTATATGACCAAAAATCAGAATCGGAAAACAATAGACAAAGCGGTTGATTCTTATAGTCAGAACAAAGACCATTGCCATGATGCATTTTATACAGCCGACTTTATGCAGGTTTCTCAATTCCGAATCCTAGCAAAACTTCCGAAAACACAACCAGCTAGTTTCATAGCCACAAATAACAGATAAATAGGACTCGATGTTCTAGCCTCTAGTTATATTTTCTTAAACTGTTAATCCAACGTTTTTCGCAATAATATTGCAGTAAAACTATAATAAAAGTATTTTATTATTCATTATATTATATTTTAATAGGACCTCGTTCACATGATTATGTTACCTTTGCACAATATAATGTAGGTTCGTTTGTCGTAGGTATATGGGCATAGTTAAGACATCATCTGTACAAAATATTCACACTTATGCTCGTGTAACGTCTCTGTAGTGTCGTAAATAGTATTATAACCATAATGTTTCTTATTTATTTTGTATATTGCGGAAAAATTGTCTTGGCATATTTCCGTTCTCTATAGAATTT